TCTCTCTCCCTCTCTCTCTCTCTCCTCTCTCTCTCTCCCTCCCTCTCTCTCTCTCTCTCTCTCTCTCTCTCTCTCTCTCTCTCTCTCTCTCTCTCCCCAATCGGGAATTCGAACGGAGGTCTACACCTCCAGTCAGTAGTAGAGACACTGGGGCGAACAGGTGAACATTTAACTCCATAATATGATGCCCGAGTCGGGCCCACGAAAACCATTGGGTTTCTCGAGACGAGACGAAATTGTCTTAACCAGACTGCGAATTGAGCATACCTCTCTGGGGCATAAATACCTCCTGCAGGGAGATGAAAAGCAATTTGAATCGGATGCGATATCGACGTTACGATCAGTATCAGGCAGATGGATTGTCCAGACTTTGGAGAAACCGAATGAAAAAAAATTAATACTCTAAGAGTAGTAATTCAAATAAATCATTGTTCTGCATCGTTGATCCCAACAGAATTCAAGATTTTGCAAAGGCTACTTGTCTCTACATATTGTACTGTAAATAGTTGCTATTTCAAAAATGCAAATTATAGTTTGTTTAAAATGAATTTCTTTTAAATGTATATATTTTAGATACGACAACTATTTCGACTCACAAAGTGAAACCCAACCGTGCTATGAACCAAAGTGAAGGCAACACACTTGTGCACCGCAAGCTCATATGACCTTAGGCAGTTGTGAGCGCCGTAAATTTTTTCCAATCTGAAATTAAAACTCAACGGATTTCGCCTATATGTAAACCCAGAGTGTAATTTGTTGCAACGATTCGCCCTTATGCCCACCCACCCATCCAGATATCTGAGTACATGAAAAGCGGGTCTCAAGTACGTACGTAGATGCTATGTGTAGAAGTAGATCATGTTTGAACAAGAGCTTACTGGCGGCTAAAGATTTTCTTCCCCTTTGAGAGCTAACATTTACTTACTGATCATTAAAACGTGTGTGGGGAAAAAAAAAGAGATGATGCTGCGAATGAGAGTAGTCAGGCTCACATAATGTGTGGAACCGAACTGTGCTTTTCTCAATCACTCGAAGCGTGAAGAAAAATATCTCTATTTTACTGGAAAAAACCTCTTGTGGTCTATGGTACTTTACACACACAGATTTGAAGGTCAAGTTCTGCTGAAGAGGGAAGGTTCATTGTTGTTCCTATCTTTTATCCGTCCTACCCCCTTACCTTTCCTTTCTTTTATACGTTTTTAAATTGTTAAAGATTCCATTTCCTGCCCCCGCCCGTAAGAAAGGGAGGAATTAGGAATGGTGGTTGTTACATTACTATTGAAAATTAAGCTTTCTAGGTCAAATGTTTTAATCTTTCCAAGTCAAATATTTATGGGTTTTTTTTGTGTGTGTAAATTTGCATAGAAATGGCCACTTAGATATTGTGTCTATTTTCAAAGAATGCTTATTGAAAACTTTCATGTCACAATTCCCGTTTTTACGTATCGATAATTGCATTGTTTAACTAGCTAACCTTCCCAATACCATTCTTCACAAATTGTAGAGTTTTGAGAATCATGGCCCCAACAACAACTAAACCAAAAACAAACAAAAAATAATGGAAAAAAGAGAAATAGTATCACGTAACTCCCATACTACGAACACTGCATTCATTAACTCCCTGTGTAGGCAAGAACGCCATCATATAACTGTATTATGCCATGAGTAGGCCTATGTCAATAACGTGCTCCATCATATTTTTAGTGATCTCGTCCAAATTTATGTTTCATCGAGATTACTGAGATCAGCCGATCAGTTGTTTTTTAAGAGGTCCAAGAAGAGGAAGGTAAACACTAGATGGACTCAGTTGCTTTATTCTCAGTACAATTATAAATTATACAATATAATATAAATGAATATTATTATACTTAGGTATTTGTCTTTAACCATAGCTCTAGTTGCATTGACCGCCGTCTGTGGCGTAGTGGTTAGACGTTTCACTGTCGCACGCAGGAGACCCGAGTTCGATTTCCA